ACTTGAATACTATATATACTGTATATATGACTGCATTATACGCATACATTTGCTGGATAAGTTTGCGATACATAAAGAGCTTACTATGCGGATGAGTGCCGTCTAAACTTTTAATACATACCGTCTATACAAATAATGTTAATTTATATAAAAATGATCATGTCAGCCAACTTCTTGACCGCAAAATGACTATTTTATCGCCCGAATTCGCACTTTTTGACCAAGCATATTTATCAAGCATATGATTAAGTTTATGTACATACAAATTATACTAGCATTGCCAACTTTCCGTATCGAGAAATTCCTTCTAAGTTAAAATTACTATATTTACATTAGTTTTAAACTAAAATATTAGCAATGTTATCTTATTATATATCATGATTCATGAATTTTAAAATGTACAACTTTACAATTTATTATATTATATTAACTATAAGTTATAGACGACATTGAAATAACATTAATTTCCTATGTTATTAGTATAACTATTACTGCCACGACATTAGTGATAAATATATTAATTATGTCATAACCTGACCAAATTAGTTTACTATTTGATATAATACAATAAAATTTTTATATTAAACATTATTTACTTAAAAATAATATTAACTCTAATTATAAGTGAAAATAACTTTTTTAAATATTCATTTCATAATATATTATGTTCATAACAAAAAAAAATAATACTATAATAATATGAGTATTTAAAAAATCAAACTCCAGCATTCAGTGTAAAACCATATTTATTAATAAATAATTCTTTTTACATCAAGCTATATTTTCTTATAACTTCGGTAGAACAGCATCGAAACCGTGTTCGAAATCGCATTCACTGTTGCCACGTCTAATTTTGAAATAACCTTGCTCGCCCCATGTGGTGCCCCACGAATTGGCAACTAACCAATAGGCGACACCATTTTCCACACCCCATCCAATCAGTTTCACGGCGTGCGGTGCTATAAACTCACCGGTCACGTGCCAGTATACACCCGTTTTGTATGCGAAAAGGTCGTCGTACACCTTGGTAAATATTTATACAACAACCGAGATTATTTCATTTGGCACTAGAAATATAATTACCATTTAAGCTAAATATAGTCATCATAAGTAAACTTTTGATAATTGTGTTAATAAAATGTAAATAATAATACATAATCATTATTATAATAAAATGGTACTTGCTGAACTAGTCCTTATTTCGTAACCCTTGGCCCACTATTACAAGAACGCCCACATAACCTAACCTAACCTAACTTATTTCCATTATAAGTTTGTTTGTTTCACTACAAGACATAATTTGTTTTATTGCGATATTGTTTAGTATGAAAAGTTAGGTTATGTAGGCTTCCCTGTAATAATGAGATAATAGGCTAAGGACCACAAAATAAGGGTCAGTTTAACAATACCACATGATGTACTTACATAGAACTGAGCTGACACAGGTCCATATGTCATGAGCTCCTTCTGGACATCCTTAACACCCACGCCATAGGCTTCACTACCAAAATGTTTGTCCTCCGTATACGAACGGTTATAGCCGGCAATACACGATTGCTCGCATTTAGGGGTCGGGTCCGTAGGGCACGGGTTGTCATGGGTAATCGTGTATGGCTGACAGCCTTCATGACTACCTAACAGGCCACCGGTGACGACACCACTTTCGATGTAGTAGTGAAGCGCCCTGCTCGGCGAACCACCATTACAACTGCCGGCATCACCGCATGCGATTATATCTTCGGCAGAGACCTCTACCTGTTGTGTACCGTTGGATGCGATGCATATGCGATCCGATATGACTTCCGCTACCGCGAATGCCCAACACCCTCCTGGTCAATTAATTTACAAATTTGTTTAAATTAAAAATATCACATAATATATAAATGATTAGCGTGCTTCTATATCATCGTTTGATAAAATGCAAATATCATACTTGGCTATAACTTATACAGTAGGTAATTCATTAATCATTTATAATGCTTATCATTTATAATTATAATCATTATGCTATTCATTTATAATGACAAATGTAGATTTTTATAACAGCTTATATTATTTTATGAAACGATGTTATGAAAAAACTTAATATTAGTATTTTTATTGTCAAATGTAAAATAAAAATAAGTAACATGCTCTGTTATTGATTTTGTATTTTAATAATTATTAAAGCTATAATTACCTTATGTATCTCAAAAAGTATTATTTGAACTTTATAACTTGCTTAAAATTTATAAATAAATATACTAACATTAAACCTGATATTAAGTTGAAATACTATTTTTTATAAATAATTTAATTAAAAATTTATAATCATATGTGTATATTTGTATTATTTATAAGCATTTACCACAACATCCTTGATCTCTAATTTCCTTAACGGTGTAACAGTTGGGCCATTGCACCCGGGAATCAAATGACTCCGGTACGTCCTCATTGGAAATATCATAAGTAATGTCTGAGCTTGGTGGTAGCGGTCTGTAACTAGGTACTAAACCCAGTGAAGGTTCATAACCTTTTTTAAAGTTTTTGCCAGCCTATGAACAAATATTATTAAATCAACATTCTCATTTTATATAAAATACAAACCTTCCATGTTGTTCTCAAACTATTTATATAATCAATTTGGCTACCCTGAGCTAGGTAAACTGTTAAAGTAAAACTTAATAATACTTGTACAAACATCATTTTTAATTCTTATAGCAAAAAAAATTTCTAAAATGTAGCGTAACTTATATAGTAAAATATTCTACCCACTTGAATTATGCACCCAATTGGTGGTACGATAATTTGACATTGGTGCTACAATAATCTTGTCATAATCTATATAAGTATTTTATCATTGCACAATTACTTTTTAATGTTACTTATTATACCTGATTATCCAAATTGCACTGAGATTGTAGACATGTGAATAGCAAATGTTTTATATACTTTTTTAAAAAGTGCTAATAGGTGCTAAAAGTGCTAACTAGTGTTGAAACACTTTTACAAATTAGTGCTTGACTCACAACACTAGTTTTTATTTTTTCTATTAGTAATAGTAAAATCTCTAAAGTTTATAAAACTGAAAACTAATGTTGAAACTAATGCATTAATGTGTAAAAGTGTTTCAACACTAGTTAGCACTTTTAGCACCCATTGGCACTTATAGTATATTATATTATATTAATCTACTACATTTATTTCTTAAACCAGTTAAACTAATAAATACTTGATAATGCTTTTATCATTAAAACGTATATATCCTAAACAACCTGTATATTATATTATTTCCTATTACTACTACATATCTATCTATCTATTACAATTAGCAAGTAAATACTCAATAAAGTAATGTTTACTTAAACTCGTGTATCTATATGACAATTGCACTTGTAAGTAACCAGTGCACTTTATATTTTCAAACATGATGTGCTTTACCAACTCTTGAAAACACTTATTAATAACCTTTAACTTTAAAATATAATGTGAATAATGAATTTCTTTAAAGATGATTTACTAATTAATTTAAAGATATTCAGATATATAAGTTTATTGTCTATGATTGCAAAATATACATTTAAAATAGAATACACTAATGTTAAAAAATAAAATTGCATTTAATTAAAAATAGACCTTGTATGTGAAAATTCATATATTTTTAAAAACATAATTCCAATCAACGATATAATCTGTAACAAGTTAAATGATAATTAGTAAACAATTAGTAATAAAAATTTGAAATTTATAAAGTTTAAAACTGACCTCGTAACCTCGAAAATTGTTAATAATAAATAACTTCCAGCAATAAAAACCTACACATTTCTTGCCAATCATGCCAAATAAATTAAGGGTCTATAAATAAATAATATTAAAAATATAATGTACATTTTACTCTATTAAAATACAAATTTATTTTATACTACAACTTACCTTGAACTTTTGAATTAACGGTATGTGATATCGTGAACCCAGGTATGAATTTAATAATTTATATGAATAGCACAATTCATTGTATAGAGAATTTGAAATATTTATAATAAACACCATGAATGAAATATATTGACTTAAATAGGCAATCATAATTGCTCGTTGAACCATATTATCTAGTTGACCTAGGGTGACCACATATGTTGCAAATGAGATAATGCACGCCATTGTTATCCAGAATATTCCCAAGAATTTACACCAATAATTGCTATTATAATCACTGATTTCTAAATAAACATAACTAAATTCCCTAACAATTCTACCTATTAAAATATGTCCATAGGAATAACATGGGCCTAAACTTTTAACACGCTCAATACCAGCATTTAATGATTTAAGCTTGGTCCTCAAATAATACGTGATAATAAAGTAGTAGATAATCTGATAGATAAGTATATTGTATATGTAATGACCCCACAGAGCAAATACCAGGGCATTAGGTATAGCATATAAAATAAATTGCACCCAGGTGACATGAGATACACAACTCGTTAGCCATAGGGTAGCCGTCACTACAAACACTATTTTACTACCAATGCTACCAATAGTCAGGGATTTATGACAAATATTTGTCAACTTTAGCGCCACCTCCCGGTCGTGAATACCGACCCCTTTTGGGGTAATTAAACCGGAAATCATTTGAAATACGTGTAAATACGTTGGCTTTGTACCATGGTAATAATTTGAGTAATGCAAAACTTGTGATACGATGCATAATATATTGATCAAGACGCATATTGATTTTATTAGCATACCGGTGCCCATAAAATACTCCAGTTCCCCGTAGTATAGGTGATACGCGACCGATGTATTTGGGTTTAGTATAAGTAGTGTTAAGTCTCTTACGAGTTGTTGAAATGATATCATGAATACTAGGTTTGGATTATAAATCCATTTCCTGTGAAAAATGTAATCCGGTTTAAATAGGGTTAGGCCTACCCTGTAGAGGTGATTATCCGCATTTTTCACAATCATGTCCTGGGGCAATATTTTACCAGGATCATAATCCATATTACAGTTTAGGTAGTGTTCCAGTATATTGTTAATTAATTTATAACTAAATATAAATGCTACCACTTAGTAAAGTCTGCTAGTTTATTTGTTAAGTCCATAACGTTAATGAAGTTTATTATCTGTCATACAGTATATAAGTAATATTAGTGTTAACATTAGTACTATATATCGGTATATTAATAACTTAGTATAAATGTAGTAATTATTATTTTTTAATTATGGTCAAAACAATTATGCGCAAACTAATTAGAAAATATATTATTAAATACTAATTAAAAGTACTAAGTAATTAATTATTATATTTGTTACTAACATTTACAGGGTATTGATAATAAAATTAAATGTCAAATATATATTAATTATTTATTGTACTAAACTTTGGTGCATGTAACAGGTATAATATATTAATAGATTAATTATTAAACTGTTGCTGACCAATTGTATAAAAAATAATTAACAATACTCAATAAATTAAATTTGTAAAATATTGCACTACCTAAATACTTAATATTTATTTAATAATTATTGTTAAAAGTAAAGTGGCGCAATATTTATAAGCATATCTGAGTAAATATAACGGATGATACCTGACATAGGCTTATCTTTCGCTTCTGGAAAGGCTAACATTAGTGTATTCTATTTTAAATGTATATTTTGCAATCATAGACAATAAACTTATATATCTGAATATCTTTAAATTAATTAGTAGATCATCTTTAAAGAAATTCATTATTCACATTATATTTTAAAGTTAAAGGTTTATTAATAAGTGTTTTCAAGAGTTGGTAAAGCACATCATGTTTGAAAATATAAAGGCTAATGGTGAAAGGTTCCGATTTTATAATTTTCTAATATCTAATTAACATATTGTAAAAAATTAATTATTTTATATAATATGTCAAGTATAGTAATCCCTTTTAAATCTTTTCTATATTGTGTAAGATTTAAGCCCTTATTTAGCATATATTTTTTAGCATCAAGCACCATTTTCTTAAAGATGCTATAGATTTAAATTGAATAAACTAATTATTAATAAAGTAATTTTTATAATTAAATGTATAATTTGGTATTATTATATAGAAATTTTATTAATGTAACTAGGCAATTATAATACTTGCACTCTACTTTGACACTTCACAAATATCTCAAATAATTGATTGTCAAGTCAAATTGTGTTTTCATCACGTTACGATATTTAATCATGATATATTATGCAGTTTAATATACATACGTGTTAATAGTGCAACCAGAAGCCGTTTGACGTAATTTTGTATTTTTTGTAATGATAATCAAAATAATTAATTTCATATTATCTTAAAATACTTAAATTTACATATTCATTTAGTTAATACTGTAATTACTTAATTATTATAATTAACTGTATATTTTCTATAAATATATAATGATTATATTAAATATTATAAATTATAGAATGTTTATTAATAATATTTTTATGGACTAATTATTTAACTATCCTTGAACACTTAGAATATAATGTGAATAATGAATTTCTTTAAAGATGATTTACTAATTAATTTAAAGATATTCAGATATATAAGTTTATTGTCTATGATTGCAAAATATACATTTAAAATAGAATACACTAATGTTAAAAAATAAAATTGCATTTAATTAAAAATAGACCTTGTATGTGAAAATTCATATATTTTTAAAAACATAATTCCAATCAACGATATAATCTGTAACAAGTTAAATGATAATTAGTAAACAATTAGTAATAAAAATTTGAAATTTATAAAGTTTAAAACTGACCTCGTAACCTCGAAAATTGTTAATAATAAATAACTTCCAGCAATAAAAACCTACACATTTCTTGCCAATCATGCCAAATAAATTAAGGGTCTATAAATAAATAATATTAAAAATATAATGTACATTTTACTCTATTAAAATACAAATTTATTTTATACTACAACTTACCTTGAACTTTTGAATTAACGGTATGTGATATCGTGAACCCAGGTATGAATTTAATAATTTATATGAATAGCACAATTCATTGTATAGAGAATTTGAAATATTTATAATAAACACCATGAATGAAATATATTGACTTAAATAGGCAATCATAATTGCTCGTTGAACCATATTATCTAGTTGACCTAGGGTGACCACATATGTTGCAAATGAGATAATGCACGCCATTGTTATCCAGAATATTCCCAAGAATTTACACCAATAATTGCTATTATAATCACTGATTTCTAAATAAACATAACTAAATTCCCTAACAATTCTACCTATTAAAATATGTCCATAGGAATAACATGGGCCTAAACTTTTAACACGCTCAATACCAGCATTTAATGATTTAAGCTTGGTCCTCAAATAATACGTGATAATAAAGTAGTAGATAATCTGATAGATAAGTATATTGTATATGTAATGACCCCACAGAGCAAATACCAGGGCATTAGGTATAGCATATAAAATAAATTGCACCCAGGTGACATGAGATACACAACTCGTTAGCCATAGGGTAGCCGTCACTACAAACACTATTTTACTACCAATGCTACCAATAGTCAGGGATTTATGACAAATATTTGTCAACTTTAGCGCCACCTCCCGGTCGTGAATACCGACCCCTTTTGGGGTAATTAAACNTTTAGGTAGTGTTCCAGTATATTGTTAATTAATTTATAACTAAATATAAATGCTACCACTTAGTAAAGTCTGCTAGTTTATTTGTTAAGTCCATAACGTTAATGAAGTTTATTATCTGTCATACAGTATATAAGTAATATTAGTGTTAACATTAGTACTATATATCGGTATATTAATAACTTAGTATAAATGTAGTAATTATTATTTTTTAATTATGGTCAAAACAATTATGCGCAAACTAATTAGAAAATATATTATTAAATACTAATTAAAAGTACTAAGTAATTAATTATTATATTTGTTACTAACATTTACAGGGTATTGATAATAAAATTAAATGTCAAATATATATTAATTATTTATTGTACTAAACTTTGGTGCATGTAACAGGTATAATATATTAATAGATTAATTATTAAACTGTTGCTGACCAATTGTATAAAAAATAATTAACAATACTCAATAAATTAAATTTGTAAAATATTGCACTACCTAAATACTTAATATTTATTTAATAATTATTGTTAAAAGTAAAGTGGCGCAATATTTATAAGCATATCTGAGTAAATATAACGGATGATACCTGACATAGGCTTATCTTTCGCTTCTGGAAAGGCTAACATTAGTGTATTCTATTTTAAATGTATATTTTGCAATCATAGACAATAAACTTATATATCTGAATATCTTTAAATTAATTAGTAGATCATCTTTAAAGAAATTCATTATTCACATTATATTTTAAAGTTAAAGGTTTATTAATAAGTGTTTTCAAGAGTTGGTAAAGCACATCATGTTTGAAAATATAAAGGCTAATGGTGAAAGGTTCCGATTTTATAATTTTCTAATATCTAATTAACATATTGTAAAAAATTAATTATTTTATATAATATGTCAAGTATAGTAATCCCTTTTAAATCTTTTCTATATTGTGTAAGATTTAAGCCCTTATTTAGCATATATTTTTTAGCATCAAGCACCATTTTCTTAAAGATGCTATAGATTTAAATTGAATAAACTAATTATTAATAAAGTAATTTTTATAATTAAATGTATAATTTGGTATTATTATATAGAAATTTTATTAATGTAACTAGGCAATTATAATACTTGCACTCTACTTTGACACTTCACAAATATCTCAAATAATTGATTGTCAAGTCAAATTGTGTTTTCATCACGTTACGATATTTAATCATGATATATTATGCAGTTTAATATACATACGTGTTAATAGTGCAACCAGAAGCCGTTTGACGTAATTTTGTATTTTTTGTAATGATAATCAAAATAATTAATTTCATATTATCTTAAAATACTTAAATTTACATATTCATTTAGTTAATACTGTAATTACTTAATTATTATAATTAACTGTATATTTTCTATAAATATATAATGATTATATTAAATATTATAAATTATAGAATGTTTATTAATAATATTTTTATGGACTAATTATTTAACTATCCTTGAACACTTAGAATATAATGTTTTCGTATTAATACTAATGATTTTTTATTTATTAATTAATTCTATTTCATTATACAGTAATTATCTCACTATCCTTGAACATATTGTTTTTGTATTAATTTTTGTTATATATTGTATTAATATAAACTTTTATATTAATTAATTAACGTTGTATTTGTGACAATATTTTTATCAAAAAATATTAAGAATATAAATTACAGCATGATAAGAAATAAGTGGTAACGATTTTGATTTAATGTAGATTTCTTAATAATAATTAGAAATAGCATTTTACTATTTCATTCATGGTGTTTATTATAAATATTTCAAATTCTCTATACAATGAATTGTGCTATTCATATAAATTATTAAATTCATACCTG